GGAATTTCCTTGATTTTTATCTTGTTTAAGGCAAGTGATATACCAATTAAAGGAGGGCAACAAGGACAATTGCCCCCATAAAATTTCTAAAATTATCATAGTAGCAATAATAGCTATTAATTATTTCTACATTATACAATATTTTCAACATTAATACTATTGGGCATCACTATCATCACTAATACAACAACTCATACATTAATTTTAAAAGCGCAGCTAAACGTAAAAAAAAAGTTTTTTTTGTTTTTATAAAAATTTATATATTTTTTGGAAGAAATAACAGATCATGTACTTCTGCGCAATTTGGATCTGCCTTCCCATATTTGTTAATAAGGTGTACAACCAATAAGTTATTGTAATTTTCCATGAAAATGATGTTTCAGTTGGAACTTGAAGTATTTTCCAAGAAAGATGTTGTACCGTGATTTGCTATGAATGTCAACTTAACAATAAGTTATTGTAACAGCCCGTTTAAAAAGAAAAGATAAATTGCTCTAGGTTTCCAAATAAAATGTAAAGCTTGTTTGGGGATGCTTTGGCAAGGAGGTTTTGGCTTTTTATCCATTTTGGGTCACATCGCCTCTCATATTTTTTACCCACTAAAAAATAAAATAGACTAAAAAAATTAAAAAGTCAACTTTTTACTAACTTTTCAAAATACCACTTAGTAACTATTTCGTTTTTAGTTTTTAATTTATATTTATAACAATTTTAAAAGTTGTCATAAAAACTTGTTTGATAATTTTTTTAGTTTAAAATGTTTGTCTCAGTTTGTAAATTTGAGAAAAAAATGTAAACTTAAAAAATGAGTTTACGTTGGTTTTTAAATAGAAATTTAAAAATTTGACTAACAAATTTTTTTTTCAAATAATTTTTTTTTTCAAACAATTTTTTTTTCAATTAATTTGTTTCCCAATTAATTTTTTTTCAAATAATTTTTTTTAAACTAACTTTTTTAAAATTATCCATTGTCATAAATAACAAAAAATAAATATAAATATTTTAGGTCTGAATAAACATATTTTTTAGTTTATGTTTTTAAAAATTTTCAAACATTTTATTCAAACCAAACACATTTATAAAATTTTGGTAAACATAAATAAAAAAATATATGATACCAAACGCTATGTAAGTACTTGTAAATAAATTATTCTCCGTTGTTCAATCATTTCAAAACCAGTAAATAATCACCATCAATCAAATTCAATACAATTAATGATTAATCACATTGTTTTAAATGTCAAACTGTTTTTTTTTTGGAGGGTCAAACAAACTGTTAAAACTAGGGGTGTCAGTTTGGATTGGTTTTGAAGGAAAATCATTAATTAACAGTCCACAATTAAAAAAATTTCAATTTGTCGGCAACTCACCTATCTTTAAAATTGCCAACGGTTTAAGCCAATTGGGTGAGTTAGAAATAGTTTTGCATATACATGCAGATGGGGCAAGTCAGTTTGTATGCAGGTTAACAGTCAGTTTGTATGTAGGTTAACAAATTTTAACACGTAGTAAGCCAACTAATCCATCAATTTTTATTATCTAATCGGTCCAATCCAACCACTCACTCACATTTTCAAGCCATACAATTAATTTCTTATATTGATTTCCTCAAATCTTTCTATCTCTTTCCTTATCTACTTTAATTCATGTTATATATTGATTATAGAACCAATCACAAATAATAACGGCAAACATAAAAATCAAATAGTAAGCTCATAACTAAAGAAGCTGCTTCACTCACATTGCGCTACTTACATTTTTGTAGTTGGATTTTGTGTGTGTCAAATTATTGGCACAAAGTGGTTCAATCAAAAACATTCCAAGGTGAACATAATTTGGAGCTGTTCCATTGATGTGAAAGTGTCCAAAACTATTTTGGCCTGGAAAAATTTTCAGCACTTAATTAGATTTGGCTTTTTTCTCATATTGAACACCAACTGGATGACCGTTGGGACTGTTTGGCTTCCACGAAAATGAAGTTTCAGTTGTAAAGTATATTGTAACTGAGCATGGCAAAGCCCTAGGGGCTCAGGAAGGACATTGTACTGATATCTGTTGGGGATATGCTTTGTGAATGCCCTATCATTTAATCCTCTGACCTTCAAGTTCCATTGTATTAAATACTGTGGGGCCAAATCCTAACCATTGTTTCATGTTCACCCTTTTTTTGTCTTTAAATTTTAACTCAGAAAAGGCCAATGTGAATTGCTCTTGGTTTGGATTTTGAGACGTGTTTTGAGGGGGAAAATATTGGAAAAAAAGAAATAAATTTACAAGGGGTATAAAAAATAATTGTAAAAGGACATGAAAATTAGAAAAATATGGACAAACATATGAAATTTGCTGAATTAAGGGGGAAAAAATAGACCAGAACCCAAATCCTCACCCTTTCCACATTTCCCCTACAAAGTGTATTTTTTGAAAAAATCACCTGAAAAATTTTCAAGTGAAGGTTTCTTTGCATAGTTTTTACCTCATTTCTAGATGAGGGTTAAGTATTTTTGGAAAGGAAAATCATTTCTTCTTTGGTTAAAAGAAAGGACAGGAGAGAAAAAAAAAAAATTTTCTTCATTTTATTTCAACATCTTTTTTTCTCTCCTCACTTTAAGTACCAGTGAGAAGAAAGTGAGGAGAGAATAAAAAGTTGCGTTTGATAGAATTTTCTAAACATGATTTGAAAATAGAGTTGTATTTTAAGTTTGTAAATTTTGAAATTATGATTTGAGTGTGGAAAATTTGTTTGGTGAATGAATTTTGAAATTTTTTTTGAATTAAGTGAGAAATTTTTGATGTGACATATGATATTTGATACAGAAACTTACAACTCATAACTAAACACGCAATTCAAAATTCTATTAAAACTCATAATTTTTTTTTAAAAATTCAAAAAATATTTTTTATTAAATATAGAAAAATTAACATGTGTCAATTGCAACATATATATATATATATATATATTGCACTGTTCCGGTCAACCGGCCGGATGATTGGTGGAACGACCGGTTAGCCTAAATTTTCCCGCATTCAACTGAGTTTTTAAAAGTGAGTGTGGAATTAATTTTTAAAAACCACAACTAAACACTACATACAAATGTGTCATTCCAAAAGGCAAGAATTTTGTGTGTCATTCCAAAAGGCAATATGAACTTCAATATGGTGCCAAATGCAGTTCAACCTTGGCCCCAGGGGGAAAAGAAAAAAAAGAAAAATGGAAAAAAGAAAAAGAAGAAGCTGAAATCATATGAATGAATTATTAATCTGGCAAAATGTCAACAAATGGTTTGTTGTAAACAGAAGTCATGGCTACTCTGAATTAAAAAGTGTGTCCTAAATCAAATCTCAGCAGAGTATGCTTCGAGCCGAAGCACCGCACCACTATTATCCTCTGCTGCTTATTGCTAAATGATCTACATCCACTGATTCGTTGCCTTGGCCGATATGTGGACCGGAGGCGGTGTCTTCGAATTTCTAGTTTCATTTGCACCTTCACACAAATATAAGCAATTGATAATATGGAATCATCATATACCCCGTTGTAGACCACAAAGCAAAAAGGTATGCCAATGAGGGTTCTGCTAGTTTAACTTACAAGAGTTCGTTGATTTACCTCCAAGAGAAGATCTGTCTGATGTTTGAACGACACCCGTCAGTGGGGATGCATTAGACGAAACTGGTGACCTTGCATCATGAATCTTGCGCATGCCATTTACTGGGGATGCTTCAACTTTTTTTTGTTGATTCCTGCAATTTTTAGCATTGAGAATTTCAGAGAGCGGTCTAAACTTGGAACTTTAGACCATGTTTGGTACTATGATTCGGGGAGGGAAAGGAAAAGAGAAGTGAAAAGTGACAAAAATCTAGCTTATTTTTCATTCACTTTTCCCCCTCAACCACAAATCCTTTTTCCAAATCCAAGATCCAAACACTACCTTAAGCACCTCCCAATTTCACCATTTAAAAAGTTATGCACTAAAATAACAAAGGGAGCCAAGGATAATACCAATTCATGGTTTTAACTACCTTTTCCCAGAGCCGTTAATCAGCTTCCCAATTGTCTGAAGCGATTTCCTTATGTGAGATGCTTTTCCATTTGCATTACTAGTCAAGCCAGGGGTTCGAGGCTCCGTAGAAAAGTTAGACTCACCGTGCATCATGATATGAACCTCATTTCTAACAAGTTTTGGTGGCTCAGGTGTCTTGGGTTGAAGAGTTGGACTCTGAGGAGCCCTTGGACGATATATGTCGATCATGGATTCACCATTACTGACATGTCCATATGGCTTTGTGGCTGCTTCAGGATCTTGAAATTGGGTATATTTCTGTACCAACACTGCTTCGGATGGTAGGAGATTGCTCACAGTTTCAGATAGTTTGATCTGCACTGGATCCTTGGGAACAGTTCTTGAACCTTCTAAACTTAATCTCCGTGAGCGAGTTGGCATAGAAGGGCTTTTAGGTCCCCTTTTGTCAACAGAATTGATTGCTCTCTTCATTTCCGTTTTGTTGGAATTTTCAATGCTCAACCTTTGGGAGCGTGGAGGAGTACGTTCAGTCATTGCATGCGGTGGTTTCTCAAATGGTGATCTTGGCTCCTTTGGTTTAGTAGGTTGAACAGTCCGTGCTTCCTTGTTAGCCAATGCCTTCTTGAGGCTCTCAATCTACAACGTGTAAAAAGTTCATGTTAGATCGACACTAGTCCCAAAATCTTAAGATTTTAAAAAATGGGCTCAACAACGTATATCAAGCTCTCCAACACCCTCCCTCATGTGCAGTCCCGTCTTGCACATGGAGATGCAAATATTCATACATACAGAGAAAAAATAATGCAAACCGAAACCAAATGCAAACGGAGAAACTAGAACCCAAAACCTCCCCAACCTAAGCTTTGATGCAATGGTAGATTACCACAGTCCCAAAAGCTTAAGCTGTTAAGAAATGGCCTAAAAGATATGCAACGTGTGAACATGCCGTGCAATAGTGATGTAAGAAGATGCATTTACCTGTTGCTTGAGTTCCATAACCTCACTGCTCTCTTTGTTCATATGAGATACACCAAGTTCAACTGTCGAGACCCTCTGAGCAAACTTCAAAGTACTGATTGTCTCCCCAAAAGAATCTGCTTCAGGACTCACATGAGCGAACATCAATGTTTTAACAGGAAAGAGATTTATTTATGTATTGTGCCTCCTTGAGGCCATCACCGTTAACTTCTGACTTTTCAACCCGTTCACTTCCTGCAAGGTCCACCAAATGGAGGCAACTGCGAAGAATACTTCCAGATACATCTTTACCGTGCACATGTACTGTCAAGACACTGCAAAATAAACAATTAATGTAAATCGACTTTTTCATCAAATTTAACAGATGAAAAAAATAAAATAAATGTTGGACCTGTGGGAACGACTACTTTGGTTGTTGATGGCAGTGGAACTGACAACACGATTGAGATCACCTCGTTTCATCAGGCTAAGAACATCATTGGTGGATTCCACATAATGCATGGAAGCATCAGGAATACTCAAGCCATTTTCACTAGTACAGCTTCGAATTTCTAATTTGCTGATAGTCAAGAATACAAAAATTTGGCAAATGAATAATTAAAGTGGAACAAAAAGTACAGCTTTCAAACAAAGAAAGCAATTTAACTGCCAAGAGGCAGAAAATTTATGTGCCAAGTGGCAGAAATGCAACTGCAAAAGGATATTTTGTGTTTTTAGAATCTTCGGCAAGAAGATCTCGTACTTGCTCGTTATATATCTCAACCATTTGGACATGAATATCATATTTCATGATGTTCTTCCTTGTATTAGACAGCCGAAAGAGATCACTGAGAGCTAGATAATTGATTCCCTGGTCCCTAGTTGATCCACACTGTCACAGAGGAAGACATATGCAGTGAGAAAATCTTGGTTTGAAAATAAAATAAATTTACAGAGACCATATATTTGACAATCAACAGTAAATCATGCAGGAAAAGCGGGAAAAAAAAAAATTACTTGCATCTGAAGCCAAATCAGAAAAGAACCTTACCATAGTATGTGTTTTTCCAGATCCAGTTTGACCATAAGCAAAAATGCATACATTGTATCCATCCATTACAGACCTAATTACTGGTTGAGTGTCCTTAAATATCTCATCTGTGTGTGTGTTGGGGGGGGCGGGAATGATTATTATGCCAAGTGAAGATAATTCACAAAATTTGTAAAACAGAAGAATCTGTGTATTACCTTGAGTAGCAGTTTGTCTAAACACATGATCGAATTGAAAAACTTTCCTCCCATCTTTTTGGGTTTTCAATGGGTCAAGAACCACTAATGACCCATCTTCTCCAATAACATCTATCACATTTCTTGCTTTGGCACGGAAGGCAGGTCTAATTCTGCAATAAACTCGAATATTCCCTGAAGAAAATTTTCAACCATGATAGAGTAAACACACTTGGTTATGTGCTTTGTAGTTAATCTTTTAAAGAAACAAAATAAGCAAGACTGATAATTTCATCAAAACAGTAAATGGTTGTTATTCAGAAATTAACCAACCTTTTAAATCCTGAACCATGTTGTATAGGTTCCTGTTCTCTTTCACAACCTTGTGATACCCAAGAGCAGCAGTAGACATCTCCTGTACCTGACTCCCTGAACTCGTGCAAAATTAAAACTAGTTAGCATTTATGAACTTGCAAAACATACTAGGATGCATATGCTTATCAAATCCCACAAAACAAGCTTTTGATTGACCTTTCTTTTAATAGTAGAATAGGGATTGATTAATTGATTTCTGAGGATGATATTGCTGAAAATTTCTTAAATAGCTCACTTACCCAAATGTTTCAAATCGCTTTGCAATTGAGATTGTAAGTCTTTGAATTCCCTCTTTGTTCTGGACAACAATTCCTTGAGATTCTGCATGTCAAACACAGAAAATTCAGGAAGACATTCTTACCCAGACACGTGTCACCAAAATAAATGAAATTGGCAATGTAAAGTCAAGAACATTAAAAAGGGACATCATCAAGCATTCTCCTTTTTCCTCAAGTATTGTATTGTGTTCGTAAATAGAATTTAGTTGATTAATTTGCACATTTGATGTAACTTTTGAATCATGTACTTATCATGTACAGGAAGACAGAAGAAATACTGAATGGTAACTGAAACAAAACGCATACTGTAGTGGAAGAAAAAAGGACTGGTGTATTGATTGTCTAACAAAATCAATATTCAATAAGTTGTACACACATATGACATAGATGGGTTCACAGAAAGCTTACTGATAGTTCTTTTTCTTGCACTTGAAATAGATACCAGTAGTTGCAGCTACCCTTTTTCAAGCAAGCTCTACAACACTGTAAGCAAGAATGTATTCATGACACAAAACATATATATTTGTTTGTTTGTGTGTTTGTGCATGCATGATATATATATATATATATAGAGAGAGAGAGAGAGAGAGAGAGATCCCTACATTTCATCAATTCATTAAACTCTATATGTGCCTTTTCTGAGGTTTAATGTTGATATACTTCAGTTATATTGATAAAGTGAAGCTTAAAAGGTGCTTTTGCAGTCATTATTTTAAGAAAGACAATGCTCTAAACAAGATCAAACTTTGAAAAACATAGTGAGGTTTTGAAATCAGTTAATCAAATTCATTATTTTAGAGTTAAAATGGTACCTAACTTATAGAAGACACACTTAATATGATTAAAATATAAAACATACCTTCAGATTTCTAATAGATAAATTCTCTAGAGGCTCTAGAGGTGGTGGTGATATTGGATGAGCAAGTGAGCTACCTCCTCCAAGGAGATCTTTGAAGATCGATTTCAACTGTATTTGGGCAAACGGATGTTAATGTAACTCATTAATACTTTAGAGACACATAAACAAGAAAGAAAGTGAGACCACCAAGCTAACTGATGATCATAATGTACTACAAAGGTACTTTAAGCTTACTCACCTCAGGGAACTTGTTTTGGAGTTGTTCCTCCAAACAAGCAGACATGACGTTGCCGAATAACTTGCCCGGATCCTGTAAAATAACTACTTCAGCTCTAGCTATTGTTCAATTTGTTTAATGTGAAATGAAAGGAAAGTTTGCGTATCAATAGGATTAACAATTACCAGATTGCCACTACGAAAGGAAGCAATAAGATTATTATCTATGTTTTCCTTTCTGTCAATCATACATTCAACAATGGCCTTGGCAATCAAATCTACAAATCAAATGGATGAACAAAAGTAAGTCTAAAAATAAATATAATAATAATCCAAACCAGAAAGGTATATGTATATCTGCAGGCTGCTACATGTGCAAGTGACAACTTCAAATATGACTTCATTAAGTAAAATAATAATTTCCTATTATTCATAAGATAAAACTTATCCATATAAATTAGTTTATAGACTATAGCAAATAAAAATATTATACCAGTATCAGACAAAGAAAGACTCATCAAAATATGGTTCATTGTTTCTAACTTAGGAGTTTTAATCAACAAACATAGAATTAATTATAATCCTTGCCGAAATATTTAAGTCACTATTTGAGACTTAATGTACTTAGAATATTATGAATGTAAGACAATTCCTGACCACCTTTCCTTAATTGATTATGCATAACAAACTCCATTAAATTTAGTAATCATCATTTGGAGTAATACTTAAATATTTCCTATATATGTGTGACAAATGCCTTGTGCAAGTATGCATATGTACTGAAACATAGGAAAGAAAAATCCTTAAAACCTTCAAGTTTTTGAACTCCACCCTCGGTGAGTGGAATGTCGTCACAGGCTTTGGACATGTCTAATTGTTGGCAAGGGTCTGAGAAGATTGCTTCCGAAGCTCGTGAGTGAACCCTATTTGCAGAATGCATAAGCAGAGGAGATCTCGTGGGCTTAAAGAATCCATTTCCTCCACTCAATTGCTTCCAGTCATGGTATCCTCTCAGAGCTAGAATGCAATCAACCACCTTCGCCGATGACCCAACTTCCAAGTTATCCTAAAGATATTAAATGAAAGAAAACTCAATTTAAGGATTGTATACATGCACAAACACATTAAGCTATTTGTGCACAATAGAAATTAACAACAGGTTTCTTAATTTACTCTTTCAAGATCAGATGCTTCAAATGTAGGTAGCTTCAATTCTTCAACTGCTACCAAAAAGTTTCGAACATTTTCAAAGTACTGATAAGCAGGCAATGGTTGAGAATCCCATGTCAGGAATTGTGAGGGTGCGTTACTCTCCACGACCTTACAATAATTCCCAAACCACAATAATCAGAAAAATTGAAATTAAACCAAAATCATAGACAAAAATACAGATAGGTACAAAAGGGCATTTTCTTCAATTGATTCCATTTGAATTCATATCCTTAATTAAGTAATTTTGTATACACACACACCTAAAGTTCAAAACTTTCGCAAACAATTTCTTGGGGCTAGTCCAAACAGGGCTTTTGCCCATTCCTTAATTGAGACCCCGCAAGTGAACGGTGGGATTGGTTCCCGGATTAGTTGGTCCAATGGGCCAGATACTGAGTTATCAATATATATGAAATGGTTATATGATTACCTTTGGGATTGATCCTGGTTGGATCTTGTTAATGACATTGCAGAGGACCAAACCATTTCCCAAGCAAGAAATGAACTCTCTCTCTGTTGGTTGAGTTGATATGCCTAGTGGTCCAACTAAGCTATCTAGCCACTGAGTTGCTTCGAAACGCCTCCAAGCTGAAGAATTAAACACAAATCAATCGAATGAATTCTCGAACAGGACAACATAAATGAGTTCTATTTGGTAGCCAAGAAACTTCATATTTGCTCTGAGTAATGAGAAAGCGTCAAGATTCAAAATGCACATTATTTTCTTCCTACATTTTCTCAGCAACCAAACAGTAAGAGAAAAGAAAAAAGTCGAATGAGAACCTGCTTCTTCGGCTTTTCTTGAAGCCAAATTCAAGTCATGCCTCCCGCTTCTTATTGTATCCTCCATTAATGCCCCCAATTTTACTCTGTAATTCGATCAAGAAACAGAATATTAGAATCCCTAACATATACAAACACGTCAATGCATCAATTTATACACATTACACACATATATATGGTATAGATTTAGAGAGAGAAACAGAATAATAATTCAAGAACATACTTCTCTTTCCTGCAAATCTTTACGGTTCTTAGAGAGAGAGAGAGATTGTGTGAATCTCAGAGTGTTGATGTACTTGCTATATGAGTCGATTCTTTTTCAGTTGATACAAGACAATCAATAAGAGAGAGATTGTGTGAATCTCAGAGTGTTGATGTACTTGCCATATGAGTCGATTCTCTTTCAGTTGATACAAGACAATCAATAAGAGAGAGATTGTGTGAATCTCAGAGTGTTGATGTGCTTGCTATATGAGTCGATTCTCTTTCAGTTGATACAAGACAATCAAGTTAGATATGCTTTTTATTGGTTACAAGACAATCAAGTTACCATGTTTCTAAAATTGGCGCCAAGTCAAATAAAATCATATTTTGCTTTTGGAATTTTTTTTTGTCTTTAGTTAAATAAATTAAATTTATGCCATTGTTTTTTGTTTTCATGCATTTTTAAGCTTTGTTTGGGAAAGTGAGATTTTAGTATATAAAAAAAAAGTCATTATGACTTTGTTTGGTTTGTATTTTGAAATATTATTTAAGAAATAATTTTTTGGAGAGAGTTTAAAAAATTTAAAAATTTGTTTGATTGTATATTTTAAAAATAGTTTTGGAATTTAGGATAATTTGATAAAAAAAAATTTGTAATTGAATAGATGAGTGTGAGAGAAAAAGTGATTGAGAATGAAAGATGAGAGAGAACAAGTGATTGATTGATGTGTAGTAGAGAGAAAAGTAATACAAACATGTTTTTGAAATTTTTTTCCTCCAAAAACATGTTTTGAGAGACAAAACCAAACATGCCCTATAAATTTGTCAAATTGTTCTCTTTATTTTTTTTTTGGTATGTCTTTTTTAAAAAGTAAAAGAAAAAATCGTTAATAAAATTGATTTCCAAATCACCTTAAAAAGATTTAAAAAGTAAAAAAATTCAAAATAAGTTCATCAAGGATAGTACTCTTTTTTCAAATTTTCTCCTATAAAAGTTTTCTTCTATTTTTCGGATGTTCTAATCTAGCATTACCTAAAAGTTAAAAACAAAATTCTAAAAACAAATCTTTTATTTTATGCTCCTTTTATTTTGACGGAAAACATTTTTCAATCAAAAATATTTTCCACAGAATTTTTTTTTCCAGAAAATGCTTTCCGTAGAAAAAGTTTTTTATGTTTGGTTACATTTTCGAAATTAATGCACTAATAGTTACATTAGTGGTGGCGACGGAGTGGAGGAGAAGGTGGTGGTAGATGTGGAGGTGTTGGGAGTGGTGATGGTGGCGGCGACAGTGGTGGTGGTGGTGGTGATGGTGATGGTGATGGTGATAGTGATAGGGTGGAGGTGATGGTATGGTGACGGCAATGGCGATGATGGTGGTGGTGGTTGTGTGGTGGTGGATGTAATGGTGGTGATGGCAATGTAGTGGCATTGATAAAAGTTTAGTTCGAAAAGCATTTTCTATCTTTTAAAAGTGAAAGTTATATTATGCCAAAATATGCTTGTTTTTTGTCGTACCAAACACCAAAAAATGCAATAAAATATTTTCTAAAAATATTTATGTCAAAACAAATAGAGGGTTGGGAGCTTTGATCCCCTATCTCTCATCTTTCTCTATTTATTGCTTCACAATATTTCTTATTTTTAGGGTTGCGACCATGTTTGAGTGAGTTATGAGGGTCAGGAATTTGGTTTGGATTATTAAGGTTAAAATTGGTATTTTGATTTTAATGTTAACATTATCAAAATTTGTTACTTTAACTAGAGGTGATGAGTGAGAGAAATTGTAATGCGATTAATTTGAAACTTGAGGAGTAAGATGTAATTTTCAGAATATTTAATTGTATTTTTCATAAACTTCAAAGGTAAATTTGTATTTTAACCTTTTATTTTTAATATATAAATAATATTTGGGATACTTCTGTTGGCAAGAGCTTTTTTGGCTATTTTAGCCACAAAAGACAAAATAGGCTATTTTAACTACAACAAACAAAATATCACATCCAACCCATAATCATTACACTCTTCTCTCACAAAAAAAAAAAAACCAAAAAAGCCAAAAATCTAAAAAGCCCTTCCTAAACCAAGTTTTTTAGCCTAGGCTAAAATAGCCCAAAAAATCAAAAAGCCAACCCACTTCCGAAACAGATCTGATTTCCTTTTTATATTTTCAGTTATTTACCAAAGCTGCTTTTTATATATTCTCAATATCAGACTGCTTATTTTGGTTAAATTTTCTAATCATTGAAATAAAAGGAGAAACCCATCATGGACAAATATGCTGAAAGAGTTCAGAATTAGGGGCAACTTGCAATATTGGAAATTCTGACATTTAACAGGGGAAAAAAAAAAAGAAGAAGAAAACCGTTAATTCAGTTATCTTCATCAAGATATATGTTTTATTTTTTTAGTTACTTATCTTTGTTGGGATTTACTGAAAACAGAGCGATACAAATGTTATTTAGGCAAATTTGGTACCGATGTGGTTCAAATTCCAGCCTTTTGGTGCAATATTATGGCAATTCAACCGACCATATTAACTTTAATGAGATAGTTGACTGACAAGTTTGATCATGATATATACTACAAAAGGAATAACCTTGTTAAAAAAATAAAAAAAAGAAAGAAAATAAACTAAATGGGACATATCGAAATAAAAATGGCATACATTAAGGTTTAGTGGCAGCATAGTCATGTTTCCGCAATAAATAACTTTACTAAAACAAGCAAAATAAAATAAAAAAATTAATAAAGGACAAAAAGGAAAAGAAAGGTAAGATGTTTGATGCAACAATTTCAATAATTTCGTGGTGCATTTGGACATTTCTTGCATACATACATACATACATTTATATATATTCTAAGAAAAGCTAAATGATTCTACAAGAAGTTTCCATTTCAAAGTTTATTTACACTACAATAAATCACACAATTTGGCGATCATTTTTGGCGATTAAACAAATTTTAGTCACCGAAAGTACACCTTTTGGCGATTAAAATTTAAATTTGTCGACGTTGGTTCAAGATATCGCTACTAAAATATTTTAGTCAGTAAATATTACTTATTGGCGACTAAATTTAAATTTCGTCGGTAAAAATTCCACTTTCAACGACTTAAAATTTGATCAGTCGCTGTTAGTCCAAATTTTAGGCCCAAAAAAATAAATTAATCTGCAATATTGGTTTTTCCTGACTAAAATTAAAATTAGTCGCCAAATAGTACTTTTGGCGACTAATATTTTCGTCTCTGTTCATTAATCTTTTGGCTACAAAAAAATTTACTCGGCAGATCTATTTCTTTGCCGACTAATACAGAAATTAGTCGCTAAATGTTCAATTTTCAACCCTTCCGCGTGCTCTTTTCTTTGTTATACAACATCACACTTTGTAACACACACACATACCGTCCTTCACCAAACCTCACAAAAACCATCCCTTTCACCGTAGCCCACCGTACGGTTGACATTACGACGGCCACCGCCCCCCGCACAAATCACCACCGTCACAACTCACCACTGCCATAGTCGCACATCGCAGGTACCTCTCTCTTTCTCTCTCTCTGTATCTCTCGCGCTATCGGTCTCACTCACGATTTGTCCGTGCATCTCTCTCTCTCTGTCACTTGAGCTCTCTCACACAGTCTCTCTCTCTCTTCTGTACTCTACTTGTCCCTCTTCTGACATTGTTGGTTTAGGGTTTATTCAAATTTGAATGTATGTGCTTTTAATTTATTAAAAATTTGAAAGATGATGTTTAATATATGTGTGTGTGTGTGTGTATAATGATTTGTACACGTATTGCAGGCGTCTCTCTCTCTCTTGAGCTCTCTCACGCACAGTCTCTCTCTGTCTCTGTGTCTCTCTCGCTCTTTCTCGCTCTCTCTCTTTCTCTCTCTCTCTATCCCCCTTGCTCTGTTTCCCCCTATTCTCACATTGTTGCTTTAAGGTTTATTCAAAATGTAGTGTTTGGGGCTATAATTTATGATAAATTTCAAACATGATGTGTAATTTATGATAAAATTTAGTGTTTGAGGTTGTAATTTACCAAGAAAATTAAGTTAAAATATGGGAAAAAAAAACTAAAAATCCAGCATTACATGCCGATTATCTAGTTACTTCCTACAAATATGGGTGAATTTCGTTTTAGATTCCGTTTGGCTACCAAGAAAACTGAGGGAAAAAATGGAAAAACACTAAACAAATTCAGCATTACATGCTACTTTCATTTTTGTATTTTTTTGTTTTCACTGAATTTTAAAAATATTTTAATTAATTTTTAAAATTTTTAAACAAACTTAACATAAATACATTTAAAAAGTATTATATTTGTGAAAAAGATCTTTAAAAAATTCACTAAATACCAAAAATATTTTTTAAAAAATGAAAATTCTATACATTTTTCGTATTTTTGTATATTTATTAATTTTTTAAAATATTTTTTCACAAATATTATTCTATTTAGATATATCTAAGTAAGGTATATCTAAAAAAGTAAAAAAAAAATGTTTAAAATTTTAAAAAATTTATTAAAAACAAAAAATACGAAAAATAAAAAATTCAATTTTCAAAAAACTAAAACCAAACAAACTGAATAGTTTATCCATGAAGAGAATTAATCAAAACAAGTGGAATGGGTCTAATCTCAGACTTCACTTAACTAACTATACTTGACTTAGGATTTATTTGGCATGAAGGTTTGGTTTGGGTTGGAGTTATTTTAGTCACAAAAAGATAAAATCGACTAAAAAGTCAATAAGATAAAATGTCACATTCAAACTATAATCATTTTATTTTTTCTCTTATAAAAGTTAAAAAAACCAAAAAAACTCATCCCAAATGAGACTTTTTAGCCCCAGACTAAAATAACCAAAAAATCAAATAGCCAAAAAGCTAACTCATATCTCAAACGAAGGCTTATTATGTAATTTCAATTCTATTTTAATTAGTCGATGATTACCATCTATCTAACAAGAAGTATAGCTATTGTCGAATTTTGACATTTGTTAATTTTGAGCAATAAATTTTGTTTATCTTAAATTTACAATAATACCATTTCTCCAATTTTATAATTTACGAAGTTGTTATTTTCTTAATTTTAAATTTTTTTACTATATTTTTCTCATGTTTAAAATATTTAAAAAAATTAGGTTCATATCTGTTATTATTTTTTAAAATGCATTTGTCAAAAAAATATATATATATATATATATATCAATACCAAGGCTGTGTGTTTGGCCTAGTAATTTCATGGTCCATGAGCTCACAAATTTCACCATTCCCATAAAAGAGGTGGGACATAGAATAATTAAAG